CATGGAGTATAGGAGGGTATTGGGCGACCTCATCCTCCTGAAGAACACACTCAACGTTAGGGGCACCATAACGGGCATCTGTTCACGATGCCCCCCCCCGTCAACACTGCACGGCCACTCCATGAAACTGGAAAGACAGCGTTCCAGACTGAGAGCCCGAGAACACTGTTTCTCGGTACGTGTATGTCGCCCTTGAAACTCACTGCAAAGGACAGTAGTCCAGGCTAAAAGTAAACAATCGTTCGAAAAGCTATTTGACCGACACATAACCGAACAGTACCCTGGCGCTCCGTTCGACATACCGTTACCAGCAATCGGAGCGATCCCAACCTGGGGCATCTGAGCACCCGTCTTTGATTGTGTAAGTTTGTAGATGAGGTGATATGAATGTGTGACCCCCCGAAGTTTTATCTTTACTCTGTCCTCGCTGATGCCAGAGCTTTATCCTGCGAATAAGGTCGGAGACCAGACGGTTGATCATTCGATATGTATCTCGAAGGTAACTCACCCAGGTGATATAACACCCATTCACAACTAGACACAACCCCCATCCAAGCAAGGCAGCGGGATTTTAATCCCTCATGGCCCAGAAAAAATATATATACCTATAACGATAAAAAAGAAAACCCACCGGTTTGACAATAATGCGAGGAACGCTCGAAATTGAGTAATTGGTGATAGGATAAACTCGGTTCCCAACGACCCCATGGTGTTGAACGTAGAAATGATAAGAAGAAGAAAACAAAGGGTACCCACCAGGTCCCAACCGTAGGAGCCGGTAAAATAGCGAGTTATCCTGTCAACCGATTAAGGAAAGAAGAATGAGAAAGAGACTGAAAATGGGAAAGGGAAGTGAAGTCTTAAAGTATTACACGGGTGCGAGACTAAGCCCAATGGTCCCGGATCCTGGTGGTTTCCAAAATTTCTACTGGTCCTGCATCCCGATGGGCCGGGTACGGACAGGGCTTCACCGCAGCGGATGTTGGATGATTAGATGTGTCCGCGTTCTGTTTGTACAGGAAGGTAACATGAAATGAGGAAGGGCACGGGAGGGGGTGCAGTATCTGCATGCAGTGCAACAGATTAGAAAGTTAGGAAAACATACGGATTTGAGTAAACCCCACCGGCCGCAGCGATCTTATCGTTCAGGAATTAGGCCAAGATGCACGTCTAGTTTCCGTTTGAATGCGGCTTCTGAGGGGGCATTAACTACTTCTTCGGGAAGACTATTCCAAAGAGGAATGACCCTGTGGGTGAAAGAGCACTGACGGACTAGAGTCCGAGCTCGAGGTTTAAAGAGTTTCATACTGTGGCCGCGAAGACTATCCATACTAGTGCGCCTAAATAAGTCATCAATCCGGCCGGAGTTGAAGAGGCTGTAGGAGGATCTCAACTCGCATCCGGCGGGTTTCAAGGGGGTATAGATTCAAGATGGAAAGGCGATTTGAGTATGGAGTAGAGGATGAGCCGTGAACAAGTTTTGTCGCCCTCCGTTGTACACGCTCAAGGGCCGTACAGTCGCTCACCAAGCGAGAGTGAGCGATTTGACTCCCGTATTCTAATAATGGTCGGATATACGTGCTATAGAAAATGTGAAAGTCATCTTTGTCTATTCCGGGTGATGAAAGTTTTAGGAAGTTAAGGATACAGAAAGCAGATCTTCTGACTTTTTTGGTGGTAGGAAAAAGAGAGAGACCTGGTCAGCCAGAAACCGAGAACTTTATGGTGTTCTACATTCTCCATGGTCGTAGAAGGGCTGGCCCTGAAGGTGTGTGCAGGGACTCTCCCAACCTTCATACTAACACATTTATCATCATTTATAGGAAGGTTCCAGACTGTGGACCAGGCTTTGACTGCATCCTTCGCTGATTGGACAGCCACAGGATCGGTGCCCCAAATTGTCACATCGTCGGCATACATTGCGACGTTGACTCCAATCCTGTGTGGCAGGTCATTGATGTATATGAGGAAGAGAAGAGGGCCAAGGACGGAACCTTGAGGGACTCCAGTAGAAATGAAAGAGTCAGATGAGAGCGATGCACTTACGCGGACAGAGAAGGAGCGGTTCGTGAGGAAGTCGCGAAGTAGGGCCAAAAGTCTGCCAGTGATGCCATATGACTTGATTTTATGAAGTGAAATGGCATGGGGAACTCGATCAAAGGCTTTTGCGAAGTCCATGAAGATTGCGTGGGGAATCAAGCCGTCATCATGGGCTTGAGTTAGACTGTCTATGACAGATAGCATATTGGAGATGCAGGATCTGCCTGGGAGAAAGCCGTGTTGGGTTTGGAAAAGAAGATGGTTATCTGATAGGTGTTTTAGTATTGCTCGTTTTAGGACCCGTTCAAAGACCTTGCTGGGCACGCTAGTTAAGCTTATGGGTCTCTAACTACTATGAGTGTGCCGGTCTCCTTTTCTAAACTGAGGGGCAATGATGCCTCTCTTCCAGGATGAAGGGAATATTCCTGAATCTAGACACTTGTGGAAGAGAGTGGAATAGTACGGAGCAAGAACCAAGGCGGCTTCTTTTAACACTCGAGGGTGTATGCCGTCTGTTCCTATTGAGCTGAAGGGATTCAAGGATTTGAGGAGTGATTCGATTTCTGCCGGAAGGATGGCGAGATGTTCTAATGGGGGCAGAGTATTTATAGGGAGAATATTGGGGTGGGAGGAGACGGGAGGGAAGTTAAAGGTGGATTCATAATAAGCCTGGAAGATTTCGGCTACCTGAGCAGAAGAGGTTACGGGGGAGCCATCAGGTAGCTTGAGAGCTAGTAGAGAGTAGTTAGGTTGCCTTTTACGGCGGAGAGACTTGAATAGAGAATTAGGGTTACTTCTGGCACGAAGAAGATTTGCCTTTTGTTGTCTACTGTGAAATTCCCTAACTCTCTGCTTGCATAAGTTCCGGATTCGCTTGAACTCGACAGCATCATCGTCGATACCAGTGCTTTTTAGTCTAGCGAATGAACGCGCCCGCTCATCCATAAGGTGCCGAATGGAGCGGGGCAGTGGAGGCCTTTTGTCAGGTGCAGCTTGTACTCAAGGAATTAACAATTGATCTGCTTCGTGGATTAGCCTCTCGAGCAACTCGTTCAAGTTGTTCAGATCGGAATCAGTATTAAAAGAGTTGAGTCTGTTGGTCAGAAATTCTCGCAGGAGAACAAAATCAGCCCGTTTGAATGAACGTAGCAATCTGGAAGAAGACCTACATGTTGGCCAGCGGATAATGAAATCAAAAGATAGCAAGAGGTGATCACTTTTACCAACGGGACATAAATACGAAATCATGTCAATCTGACGCCTTGCTTTGGAAATGGCAAGATCAAGTAGAGAGGGACATTGGCGGATACGGTATCTCATGCGGGGGGTGATACGTGTTAGAACCATGAGTGTTCGTTGACGAGATTTATAAGAGGTAAACCAAAAATCCTATCACTAGAGTGGCATCCGGGCCAGTCGA